ATTTAATTTATTTTTTAAACACTTCATCGAATTATGTTCATAAATAAATTCGATTATATATATTCTTACGTGAAATGTTTGTGATATTATAGAGACGTTCTCGACAGACTTTTTCGGTTACCGGTATTGGAATAGCATTCCCTACATTGTGCACGACTACGTAGAGAGCTACTTGGATGTGACCGACGATGGGAACTGCGGATTTCGGGTAATTGCGAGCTATATTTTTGGTGACCAGGAGAAGTACCGGTTGGTAAGACAAATTATTGCAAATGAGATTGCGGGGAACATTCCGAGGTACGAGAACATCTTCTTTGACGGGATCAACGCAACACTCAATCGAATACGCTGGGATGGGGGCCCTTGTGGCCGTAACCACTGGATGGAAACTATGTGCGACCTCTTTCCCGTTGCCACATTTTTTAATGCACTTGTGGTCTTGATAGGCATGGGTGATCGTGGTGACAATCCCACCTTTTTTAGTTCTACTGTACTGCCTCTCGTCGCACCATCGACGGCTACATATCCGGAGCGAGAGATCGTCTTGTGTCACCTTGGTAGTTACCCACACTACATTCGTGTTAATTTGGCGCCCGGCCATCCAATACCGCCTATATCCCCTTTTTGGATGTCACTTCGAGATGAGTCAGTTATAGGTTGGGAGAATTACTACAGCAGTAGAATAGCTGCGTGGATCAGGATTCGTGATGCACCTAAGTCTTGATATTATTATTATATTCGGTTGTGATTATTTGTTATTTTGTTGAGTTTGATTTTGAGTTGATGTATTTTTTTAATTATAATATAGTATAGCATATCGAAAATATAAAAACATAATGTGAATGAGTAACGACATATAAAAAAAAAACAACTCAATCAACAACCCGACCCAACAGTAAATAAAAAAAAAAACAACCAAAAGTCGAGCGTACAATACATAAAGAAGAACAATTCAACCAAAAGTCGAGCGTACAGTTAAAAAAAAAACATTATTTCCATAAAACGTCAACGCTGCGTCGCTCTATCCCAATCCGCCTTAACTACGGACCAAGCGTCTACATACTCCTTCGTCAAGACAGGATCAACACGCTCGAACCGCGATATGTACGCAGAGTGGACGTCGTCGAAACGCTTGATCCACTATCCACAAATCGAAGAGTTACAATAAATAAACATTATAATGAAAGCACACATTGATAAAAAAAAAATAAACGACTTTCATAAGAAGCATCGACGCGCGAAGGGACTGCGGGAGGCTCCGTGGGATCGCCACCCAACAACTTCGGACGAGAAACCCGAGCGAACCACTCGGAGTACCCCGGCTCGACCTCCCCTGGTGTAACTGTGGTGGGGGTGTAGGCAGCCAGGTTGACGGCTGACAGCTGCGGGAAATCGTCCCAGGAATCATCTGCAGCTTCTGCAGAGTGCTCGACCTTGTACAACCGAGACTCCCAAGCCCGTACTACACTGGATGGCCGACGGATCCTGGGAGGGATACGCTGGACGTAGCCCAGCTGACGCAACAACCGCAGAGGATTGTAGGGCTCCACGATGTCGCGGTACCTAATGCACCCGGCATAGAGGGTCCTAGCCTCGATATCAGCGGGGTTGCGACCGTACGGCAACCAGTTCACCTGTTCAAAATTGCACACAAACATTTATTATAACACTCATATTTTTTAAAAAATAATATTTAACAAAATGTAAATTACACTTATAACATTCACGTACCTGGTCCACCCTGAGCTGGTCAAGGGCGACACGGTAACCCTGAAGGCGGTCTGCGGACCTCTGAGTTACCGCCGTGCTCCACCAGGTAGAACGTGCGGGAGAGCCATCTACAGGCCGGGGCGCCTCGTGGGGGCGAAAGGGCAGGAAGTACTCGAAAATCAAGGTCTGCAGGAGAGCCAAACAGCCAGTCAGTCCCTTGGCGTCCCCCTACTGGCAACACCAAACTGTCTGTATAGGTATGCCAGTGTAGCCGAGCCCCAGGAGTACTCCGGAACTTTAGCCGTGTCCTCCATAATCTCGTGCAGGACCTTCGGAGTAATCCTGTTACCACTCTTGTCCGCGAACAAGGTGGTACCCATCGCCATCCACAGCCATGCGGCTGCCTCCTGGTCAGCCGGCCGAGACTCGTTGAGCGACCTGAATGCGCCCGAAACGACGGCAGTGGTCACCGCGCCGTGATCCCAATAGGTATCCATCAGCTCTCTCTGGTCCACCCCCAGCATCTCCATGCAGTACGCACGGAGTCTCTCAGCGGTCGGGTCCGCTGCCACTGAACGCCCCTCCACGGGAATCCCCAAAATGGCCCGAACATCGTGCAGCATTATACTCATTTCACCAAACGGCAGGTGAAACGAGTTAGTATCGGGCTGCCAGCGCTCCACGAATGCAGAAAGTAGTGGAGTGTCCAGGTGCGCATGCATGGAGTCCGCCATATGTGACATCCCCGACTGATCTATCAAACCACGTGGCTCGGGATCCATCTCGGCCAGCCACTCCTTCAGAGTGCCGTGCGCTCCATGCCTGTTTTGGCATTTCAATATGCCTCTAACATGCCTGTCTGGTCCAGGCAACGTCATACGGGAGGCCACGTGCCCTAGAAAGCTAGGGATAACGCTCCCATCACTGGGGCCACCGGGTACTGGGGCTTTAACGACCCAAGACTCCTCACCCTTAGCCCGCTTGCTACTCGAACCTGCATTTACAATACAACAAATAAGTATAGATATATACACGTCATATTGTGACTGATATTAAAAGATTTTTTTAATAATCTATAAATAACTAATTATTCCATTAAAACTCAAATATAAATGTAGTATTCATTCATTCTATTTAAAAATTATTCTAATAAATTAAGAACAAAATATAGGAGTGGGTGATTTTATTTTTAATTATACTAATAACTTGAAAAGAAATAATATAAATTTTTATGAATAATAAAATTTTTAGGAAAATCATATCCTATTGTAGATTTGATAGTTAAAAATAAAATTACCTTGTTAGATCAAATGAAAA